CCACAACTTTATATAATGATGGGAATATTTCCAAATACCTACTTTTAGAATGCTGTCACTATAGATGAGTTTCTTTCAAGGAGTAGTATTTTCCCCACTAAGTATTAAAACATCACATTGACTTCAAACACGTAGATTGCATGTTGTTTTTTTTTTTTTAATGTTTGCCAGAAAACATATGGCTGATAGCCATCTGCTGTCACAGAAGAGAGCAGCTAATTTGGAGCACTTAACTTTTTAAAAGAAAATTGTATAACTCATCTTTAAGCTTAAAACTCTTAAATACTTTGCAACTAGAAAACCAACAAACTTTTTTATGGTTCAAATAATTGCGGGGGAGGGGGCGGTTTCTCATTCCCCAGTCCCTCATCTTGCAAGAGTCCTATTTGCTGAAGGTTTTTTCCCATCAAGAGTAGAATTGTCCCTGGCCAGCGTGGTTCAGTTGGTTGGAGCATTGGGATGCAGGTTCGATTCCAAGTCAGGGCACAGGTGCGTGTGACCCGTGGTCTAGTAGCTTACAATACCAGGTCCAGGCACATACTGGAGGTGGCCAGTCGATGCTCCTCTCTCACATCAGTGATTTCTCTCTCTGTCTCCTTTCCTCTCTCTCTAAAAGCAATGAAAAAAAAAAAAAAGTCCTCAAGTGAGGATAAAAAAACCAAACAAAAAAGAGTAGAATTGAATTGAACCCAAACTCGGTCCTTTGGCTTTCTTCAGCATTGTATTTTTATGAGAACGATGTGCTACCTACTTCACTAACAGGGCACCTCAGACCATTTATTTTCAGCTCTAAAATTCTGTCTTACTCTTCTTTATATATTCTGTTTCTCTCCTTAATTGTGCTCATATTTTTGTTTAAATCCTGATCAGAGCCTCCCTCCCTGACCACATGTGCTTTGCCATTCTCCCTTCCCTTTGTTGCAGCCTTACCTTCTCCCTCTGCCTTGAATATGCCACGTTCACACCTACCTCTGCACCTTTGCAATGCTGTTTCTCTGCCAAGGATTTTCGCAGTCTCTTCTCTCCATCCAGATCCCAGTCCTAGTGTCACCTCCTCCAAGAGACCCTCCCTGTCAGTCATCTCCTGTACCCATCCTCTATTTTCCACACCCTGTTTTCTTACGTGCTTGGCAGTTACTTAAGAGTTCTCTTTTATTTGGTTCTGCATTTTGTCTGCCTCACTTACTTCAGAATGTCAGGTCTTTGAGAGCAAGGTTTTGTCTTGATCAGCACCGTGTTCCCTCAGCACCTAGAACAGTCCTCATGTCATAGAATGTGACACTTGAGCGCTAACGAGAGACGGAACTGTGCCTGGCTTTCCCCTGCTCCTGGCTTTCCCCTGCTCCTGGCTTTCCCCTGCTCCTGGCTTTCCCCTGCTCCTTTTCCCCTTGGATGCTGCATCTTTCCCATGGACTGACTGCACCACAGTGTCCAGGGGCCTAAACTCTTGTCTCCCCTTTTGGGGAAAAAAAAAATCTACTTTTCTGGGTTTCTCTATCAGAGAGTGGCCCTCCACTTATCTGATCTGCATGGCCCATCTTGTTTTACTCTTGTTATTCGTGAACATGGTTTATCTCTACTGTGAAGCTGGTCCTAGCTGACATGGCTGAATGTTCATCCCAGTGCCTCACTTGGGCCTTACCCAGAGCAGAGAGGTGCTTAGGAAATACTTGCTAAATTAGGACTTGAGGAGAGGACAATTTAGTTGGCTGCTGCTTCGGGAAGGAGAACTCTTCATAAGAATTTTCCATTCTTGTTTACCTGGCTGACTTCTCTTTCTCCTCCCCCTGTCCCTTGAGTAAGAAACCAGCACCAGACATATTGTGGAGCCCCCTCCCCCAACCCTAACTGTGATGGCTGGAATTAATGAGATAATGTTACATGTACGTAGGAGAAGGTGTTGAATGAATGTGTTGTTGTTTGTTGTAATTATGTTCTTTGAGTCCTGTGTTGCATAAAGAGCTCTATCGTTCCTCAAAGAGTGTTTCGGGAATTAACCATTAGATGATTTTAAAACACGTTGCAAGTTTGTCACATTGGGTGGATGTAACTGGCAATAAACATGTTGAATTGGAGGAGGCAGGGAAGACAGGTTGAGGGTTTTGTGTGTTCCTGTTCCACGTATGGGTGTGTTCTCTTGCCTCCCCCAGACAATTTCTTAATTGAGCTGCTGAGATCGGAGGCTTGTGACATTCAGAATAAGGCCTAACAATACTTGTGTGGGGTTTAAATGGCATTGGAAATCATTAACGAGACAAAAAAGGTATGATTTCCCCTAGATTAATATGCAGGTTGGGGTTTGGCATGCTGAAAGTCGTTGTTTTGGTCTCTAGCCCAAACATGCTAGAGTCATTATATTGTCATGTGGTAATTAGCTGTTCCTTTAATGCAAGTAATAAAAATTAAGCCTAAGAGGTACTTTAGCAATGCCTTTTACATAATCCTAAACAATATTCAAATGCTGTAGGCATTTAGTCATTCAACTGTACTGTAGTAAAGTTTGAAGTTTAATGCATAGAGATGTTTGAACATTCAGTTCATTCTTTATTCTGTGACCAGTTTTGCTACTTAGGCATTAACCTTTAATAGTGTTAAATTAAATATATATGTCATAATGAATAATTATGAGATTGCCAGAATTTTCATTTACAATATAATGCTTGGAAAATGTGTCTAAAGGTCTAGTTACCATTCACTTGGTAATGTGCATGTTATTTTTATGTCACTGAATTTTTTGCTGAATCAAACAAGGGAAGCTGTTTTTTATTCTAAGCAGACACAATGGGTACCAGCCTTTTAAAAGGTATGGACTGGAAAAGTTTTCAACAGAAATTTTAGGGATGTAGGGCAGTATACTAGCTTAGCCCTTTAAAGAGCAATTGTGTCGGAAAGCCTACAGGAACCAACACTAACAGAATTTTAGAGAAGTGTAGCGGTTCTCCTTCTCCTCAGTCCTTCTCTGATCTCTCTATCAAGTTCAGTTTGTAGTTCTCTATGAAGGGGACAGTGTGGGCACATCGTTTATTTCCTTCAGGTCATTTGCCCAGCACAAGTCCATGAAGGCAGGGGAGGGTGGGAAGGTACCCTGGGAAGACACTAAAACTTAAAAAAAACTACACCTGAAATGTTCTGAGTAATTCAGTCTTTAGTGTTATTACTACTCCTACTTAAAAGAAACTATCTGCACAAAATAGCTTTTGAAATCTAATTTAATATAAATATTTTAATGCTGATTAAAATAATAATGAAAAGCCACAAATGAAAAAATGACATAGTCATAAACTGTATATACACACAGAATAAATGCCCAGCAGCCAGGGGGGTCACGTGATGGACAGTGTTGGTGTTGATCCCATGCACAGGTCTGCCGTTGTGCTGGACAAATCCCAGTGCCCGCCTTTTGTAAACTCTATAAAGACGTTGTCATCTCAAAGAGCTCCCGGCTCCTGGTAGACGGCGTCAACTGAAACATGGTGGATCTAGCCCGTATTTCCAGGAATCAGGGGTGGTCTGGAAAATTAATGACTCTGGTATTTGAAAATTAAGTGAGCTCTTGAATATATACCCTTGTTGATCCACTGTGCTTGGTGTTTAGCATTCCTTAACCAGAGACTAAATCCTTGCAGCCATTTCACAAGTGATACTGGCGTCCATACCAGAAATATCTTCAATAATCTTTCCTAAGCCTGGCAGACTAGGGTATTCCACTCTGATGGAGCCCAAGTGTTCTAGCGGAAGTGCTGCACTGGTGCCCAGCAGGTGGATTATAAGTGCCTTTTAAGCAGCAGAAGAAAAAAATAAAGATCAAATTGATGCCAGAAGAATGTTTAATGTCTCTCTGTTTTCTGCTGAAGGCCAAGAGTGAGTGCCATAAATTCTATGTCTGCAATCTCTAACTTGAGATTAAAATTCAGGTTTTTGTAAGTAAATCTGGGGGCAGATAGTACGTTGTATTGGCCACTAGACCTCGTACTATCCTCGTACGTACAACTGGCCCAGGTGCCATTTCCTGCTGTTCATACTGCAATTAGAATGTGGTGGCCTCCTGGCTACCTGGCTCAATGGCCTAGGCTGAGTCAGAGCGGGTTGGCTCACCAGCCGTACCTGTGGGGAATAGCAGAGCCCCCCAGGGCAGAAACCAGCAGTCTCCAGGCTTCAGCTCACTGACTCTCGTGTGAGTGTCCTTGGTTAGTGAAGGAGGATTGTGATGAAAAGTGAGCATGTCCTAAATAGGGTGGCCTCTTACAAAGGCTATATTTACTTCCTCTGCTCCATCAGGGGATCTTCCTTGTTGGAACATCAGTCACTGGGAGTTAACAGCCTTGGGTTCGTGTTCCCTCTGCCCTCAGCCAAGTGGGAGACCTTGGACAAGTCACTCGGCTTCCCTGAGCTTTAGCTTCCACTTCTGTGAAAGGATCTAGTACGTGTCGTACATCTCTTTCCAAGCATTACTTTGAGACTCAAATGAGAAAATGCCTGTGAAAGTGTATTGTGACAGTGAGACAGAGTATCAAGTGTTATTTCTAACTTCTGTAAGAATTATTACAAAGTTGTGGTTTATGGCACCCTCCCCCCCCCCACCCAGTGCAGCTCTGGGTGCATGGATGAGTTTCTCGGGGCCCCTCCCCTTGCTGCTGCCCCACGTTATCTCTCTTCCTTTCAGCTCAGAGATTCAGTGCCATGCTCTGCCAGAGCAGTGGGCAAAACCCCCGTGAGCCCAGGGCCATTTTTAGCCCATTTTCGTGCTTTGGGTGCCCTGGGGTGGGTCTGCATACACATCCTTTGTAGGCAACAGAGAAGTGCCCCCATTTCAGCCATGGGGTTCCCAGGGACTTTGGAAGGGGGTGGCAAGGCCACAGGTGCCCCAACTTGTGGTGGCAGCCCCAGGTCTGGAGGCCAACTTCCTGGGCACCCCAAGCGATCTGCCTGATCCCCCACGTGACCATGAAGGTGGCTCGTCTGTGTCCAGAGTAGGATGCTGTATGTTTTCTCTCGTGCAGATCCCGTGCCGGCTCTGGATCTTGGGCAACAGCTCCAGCTCAAAGTGCAGCGCCTGCATGACATTGAAACAGAGAACCAGAAACTTAGGGAAACTCTTGAAGAATACAACAAGGAATTTGCTGAAGTGAAAAATCAAGGTTGGTGGAAGATGAATTCTTTGCTTGGCTTTTTCTTTTTCTTTTTTCTTTCTTTTCTTTTTTTTTTTTTAAATTGCCTTCCCCATACTGTTGGGACTAGCTCTAATTGTAATATACGTCATAAAGTCAGGGTGGGGTAAGAATCAGAATCATTAAAGAAAGATAATAACAATGCTTAGTTATTTAGAAGTAAAACTTTCCCTGTGCACAGTAACTACATATGATTTTATTGCCCTGTGACGGGACTGATCAGGATTCTTTTAAAATTCTTCCTGTATCATCATGTGATAGGATCTGCCTTTTAAAAGAATGATGCGTTGCCTGCAGGCGACACCTGTCAGAGAGCCAGCTTATGATCAAAGGGTCACATACAGTAAGTCATTTAATAATTGCTGCCGATACATTAAGGCTTTAGATGCATCCTACAAGTCTACATGTTTAAGCACTACTGTTTCCTTGTCAGCGTCACCTATTCATTATGGATTTAATGAAAGAAAAGGACCTCTTGGTGTGGTTGCCCAGCTGTCAACAAGACAGAGAGGGCAAAGGTTGCCTGGCTTTTGCTGTCAGGGAAGAACAAAGAAATCGCTCCTGCACCTAAAATCTAGATGTGTTCAGATTCCAGGAACCGGATGACTTCCTTGTCTCGAAGAAAAATTACACCCTTATCTGAGAGCAGGATTTTTGGGCAACTCCAAGTAGAAAATGCAGTCTGTTTGGTTTTGTTTGGGTTTGGGTGAGGAAGGAGCTGGAAAGGAAAGGCAAATCACTTGGATGATCTCCTCTGAGTGGCCACCTACTTAATATCCTCCAAGGTCTGGAAAAAGAATTAATTGATGATGATTTTTAAAAGTGTCCTTGGGCTTTGAGACGATTGAAGACAGGCTTGTGAGGAGGGACTGACCATGGAAAGGATCCAGGAAGAGACTGGATAAGCAGCTGGAAGGCAGAGGCCTGGGCAGCGCAGGCAGCAGTCCCGTAGTTACTCCTTCCTCGGGGGACGAGAGCTAGAGGGCAGAAGAGACCCCCCCCCCCCACCTCCATCTGGTGCCACAGGGAGCAGTGAGTCATTGGGACTCGGGGACAACTTTGTCCTGCTGGAAAATGAGGTGTTGGATTTACGAGGCTAGGATCTGGGTGAGAGAAGGTGCTGTCTTTCCCCCAGGAGGGGTGGTTTCTTTTCAGAACCACCCAAATGCTCAGGTGAAAGATAACCTATAAATTCTCACACCTGGGTTTCACTGCCCCCCTACCCAACAGAAATGAGCTTTGAGTTTTGTTTTGTTTGGTTTGTTTTCCTTCCCTGCGACCTCTAGCATCTTACTCTGCCAGATCCACTCGTGGTGTTGTCTTTATTTTCTTTCTGTTTTGTTGGAGGATGATGCAGGTGCCAGTGTCCTTCCCCCCATCTTGCCTTGTCAGCGCCTCCATGGCCAGTTGTCCAGCGAGGACCATAACTGAGTGTGAGGTGTTCTGCACCCCAAAGGCCCCATCTGATGGGCATTTTTAAAAGAAAGACTTAAGAGCAAAGGAACCGGGGGTGTACAGGCCTGTAGTCCCTTCATTGCCACTACTTAGCTATGTAACGTTGAATAAGGGATCTCACTTTGCTGTAAGCCTCATCTTTTCGGGTGGGTTATTCTCATACTAACCACACAGGATCGTTGTGGGTTAAATGAGATGCAGGTGAGACATTTAGAGCTATTCCTGACACTCTTTAAAGATCAACTACTCTTCTAGAGTGCTGTTGTTTTTCTCTAGAACTGCCCCCACCTTTTCTTTATTTACTGATCTCTTAATAGATTTTTCCAACCTCCAGAAAAATGTCAAGTTCCTCTCTTTTCTTCCCAATATAAAAATGATTTTAATTTGGAAGGGTTAGGGTGCACATCACTAGTTTTAATCATCACAGCCATATTGTAGATTGATGAAAAGTTAGAGCAGGATAGGAATTTATTATGTGCTATAATTCTTTCCCCCATTTAAAAATGAGTACATTGGAGCCCTGGCTACAGCTAATTAGAGCAGGCCATTTCAGTGCCGTTTCTGCCACTCTGTTCTTTCTCCTCACCTGCTCACATGTACGGGATCCAGGGCTGGGAACAGGAGGAGGACCAGAGTCAGAGGCTCCAGAACAAATCGGCTCCCGGCTTAGGCTTAGCCAGTCAGTGAGCAGCTTACCCAGGGTGAGAGGGTAGCAAAGAGATCTCATCAGAAAGAGTGGGAGCCCCCAGCTAGTGCCCCATAGTCCCCTGGAAGAAGCATAGGTGTGTCACATTGAGAAACCCCATTAGAATTAGCAGTGGGGTCCAAGGGCTGTACAGATATTTCCAACCAGTTGTTGGATGCAGAAAGGCTTTATGTTCACGTCATTGCATAGACCGTTGACTTAAAGAATGTGCAAGTGTTTTCAGAGGTGATCCATCTTGGTGTTCATTTTGGAAGTGTTCCACTTATGCTCAACTTTGGCCCTGTCAGTGTGTCCTGACAGTAATGTGTACCACTAACCATTATGCTCACAGAGCATTTCTTTCGGGCCCAAAATAACCAGTCCAAAAGGCAGAAATCCCCAATTCTTCTTTCAAATGCTCTGACAGGGTCATTAGTTTTAATTCTCTTTTCCTCTAAGGAGAACCTTCCAGGTTCCACTTAATAAAAAGGGCCAAATTCTTCTTTTAACAAAAGCGCTTTTAGCTTTTACCCACTGAGCCACATAAATACTAAATGCCCAGTTGATGTGCTCCTGCCTTGCCCAGCATGCTTGTGCAGCTCGGGCAATAAAGGTGGATATGAGTTACAACCTGAAGAAACAAAGGCCACCAGTCCAAGCTCTTACTTGGACAAGGGTCTGGCAGGTGGCATTGTCCCATGAGCTTGGGACCCCATTGTCACGTTGCCTGGGCCTCACCCTGTTAGCCCAGCCTCGGCTCCTTCATTCATTTGTCCCTCAGCCATTTCCAGAACACCCACTTGCTCCAGGTGCTGGGGCCACAAAGAACCTCAGCTTTAACTTCTAGGGGATGGGTTCGTGCGCAGCAGATATAGTTCTCCAAGAGCTCTGCTCTCCTTGGATTTGGGACCACAGGGCTCTACCAGGGACTGTCCAGCATGCAGGGCGGCATGGCGGTGTCTGCAGGAGGGAACAAGTGGTGTGGCCCTGCCCTAGAGCCACCCATGGGTCTGAGGAGGGACCCTGCCCTATTCATTATATCTGCTTTGGCGTTCCCAATTGGAGTAACTGAAGTGATAACTGTAAACATGCCATTCCTGGTGGCGTGAGCTGAACTTTCGAGGGACAGCCTCCCAACGGGCCCTGTGTCCTAAATCTGGGCACCACAGGGCACCTTCTTTGCCCAGCACCACTGCCCACATCCTTGACCCTCACCCTCCCTCAAGAGCAGGTCCCCCAGACCCCGTTTGTCTGCTCTGCACACACAGCCTTAGTCCTCCAGACTCTGCTGAGAGGAGGCCGCTCCCTGCCCCCAAGCTGCAGTGTGGGTCCCTTCCAGCCAAGGAGATTCACACTATATCCACTGAGCACACTCCATGTTTCATCACTGTGACACAACAAAGGTGTGCCCCCAGCCAGGGACGCCCGTAGATATATGTGACTTCAGCTAAGATGGCGTCTTCCAAAATATGCACACAATTATGATCTGGGTTTTGTCGTTTTCTTGTTTGTTTGCTTTTTGTAACAAAGTACTTAAACCCACACTAAAACTTTATTAATTTCCCTCAGTAGAGGACTAATTTATGACTCATCAATAAGATAATGTTATATTTTATCATTGATCCTCCCCCCCCCCACCTTTTTTTTTTAAGTTGTATTAGAGAAACCATAGCTCTTCTTCCCAGCAAAATCCATTGATCCTCCTCAACCTAAACGTTTAAAGTTCAATTTAACATTTAGGGAGTAAAAGGTCTCCGAAGGGACTCGTAACCATTGATTTTGTGTCAGAGTTGAAGAGCTAAAGTTTAAAACACACCAATCCTGCTCAGTTACGAAAGCCTGTGTATATATAGCCACATGGAACTGTGCTTCTCTCACTGTAGTTTTTTTTTTTTTCCCCTGCAGAGGTTACGATAAAAGCACTTAAAGAGAAAATCCGAGAATATGAGCAGACTCTGAAGAATCAAGCAGAGACTATAGCCCTCGAAAAGGAACAAAAGTTACAAAATGATTTTGCAGAAAAGGAGAGGTGAGCATGTGTTGGAGTTTGCACCTAATGAACTTTTATGTTCTACCTCTAAACTTCACACGACAAGACAGTTTTTAAAATGTACCTGTAAAATATGCCCAGGTTGTAAACCAAAATCCTGTGAGCTCTAGGCAAAATTTTGTTTAAAAAATAAAGGTGTCCCTTATTGTACAATGTTTGAGACTACCTTGAGTGAAATGTATCAATCCTTCCCCACAGTCAGTGGGCCAGGGTGTCTGTCCAGGCCATGTGGGTCGAGAGGCTGAGCATGAAGTGTGTGTAGTTGATGCGTGGCAATTGTACATCTTTTTATTACCTCACAGAGCTTCAGGTAGGAGCTGATATCAGTAAAATATGTTAATGACCCATCCAGCTGCTGTGAGTTTTAGATCTCTGATGGCCAACTTCACCCAAAACTTTTCCACAAATAGTGGGCTAGTTTTTCACTACACTATTGTGATGATTTAATGAAAGTTAGATTTCTCCTAAAAACTGTAAGTACTGTTGATGCTACCAATTCTAGTGACATAAGTTGGATTTTAGAACTCTGGTGAAATACAGATTTTATATTTTAAACCTATCATGAAGAAATCTGTGTATCTGTTAACAAGAGGCACTAAGGTGTGATTTGAAGTGAGAAGCCAGGCCTGATGCTGTATGCGGTTGACTCTGAGCGCAGCTACTTGCACTTCTGTAAGGAGGGCTCCGTGCAGATCTCGAGTATCACTGAGGCCTCTCTGGAGTACTGTTAAGCTGGCTTCATTTAGAAAAAAGAGGAATACCCATTCCATTCACCTAGTGCCTCCTCTGCACCCACCAGGCCCTCTTGGAACATATTGCTGAGTCCAGAACAGACCTGCAGAGTGGATGTCTCCTTATACAGATGGAGAAACTGGGCCTCGGATTAGGTGCTCTCCCACCCAGTCATCCCGAGGTGGGACCAGGCCTGATCCACCACTGCAGCCCTGGCCTCTGGCTCAGACGTGGCTTCACCGAAGTCCTCACTTCAGGACCAAGGTGAAGCCGTGACTCCACACAAGGACACCACACCCACCCTTCTGGGAGTGCGGGGCTGGGTACAGCCCCCAGCAAAGAAGTCAGGGCTCTGAGACAAAGATGAGCCGACTCTTAATGTCTCCTAGAAAAGCAACTCATGCCCAAAGAGATTGCTCACCATATTATTGATAATGGATAGAGGGGGAATACAAGCAATTGAAATGTTTGCCAATGAGAAATGGGTCAGTAAAAGATAGGCCATCCCTAACTGGAACATTATGCAGCCATTAAAATAGTATACTTACATAGAATTTGCGATAACACCAGAAATGTATCCAGCATAAAGTGAAAAATGCATGATAAAGTTATGTACAGTGTGATTCCAGCTATATAGCATGAAGTGTGGAAATAAGCTCCTATGACAATTTAATACTTTTAAGTTGACTTTTCAAATTAGGTAAAGGATTTAGTCTATTAAAAGATGTAAACAGCCCTGGTTGGTGTCACTCAGTGGATTGAGCGCCGGACTGCGAAGCAAAGGGTCGCTGGTTCAATTCCCAGTCAGGGCACATGCCTGGGTAGCAGGCCAGGTCCCTAGTAGGGACCACGCAAGAGGCAACCACACACTGATGTTTCTGTCCCTCTTTCTCCCTGCCTTGCCCTCTCTCTAAAAATAAGTAAATCAGATATTCTTAAAAAATAAAATAAAAGATGTAAATAAACTGACTGACCATTGAGGGTGGAGGACAAAGCTAGTTCTTTACCTCATTCTTTACATGAAAAAATGGAAATGGATCTAGGATTTAAATACTAATGATTAAATCATGTACATAGTGAAAGTAAACTTGGACAAATATTTTGTTCTTAATAATTTGGAGTGTGGAGATCTCTGTAAACATAAAAGGAAAATTATCCAAATATGACTACCTAACATTTAAAACATTTTATAAAACAGATACTAATGAACAGCATCTTTAAAACATCAAGAAACTGGGAAGAAGTATGAGCACCATTAAAGGGGAGGGCTAATTTTCTTTATATACAAAGAACTCTTACAAATTAATAAGAAAAAATCAGAGCACCACAAAAAATGGGTGAAGGCAATACGCAAACAGGTTCACACAACAGAAATGCTCAGCTTTACTCAGCAGTAAAATTAAGTTTAATTTTATTCAGTGTTGGCATGGGAAAACAGACTCTCACATCGTGTTGAAGGGAGTTTAAATGGGTGAGGTTTGCTTCATTGGGAAGTTTCTCAATATCTATCAAAACAAAAATTGCACATACCTTTTAACCATTTTTATCTAACAGACGTACTCAGAATTATGCAACAAATCTACATGATGATCACTACAGAATTGTGTAGTGGAAGTAAATGATAAACAATTTATTGATAGAGGCCTGGTTAAGTCAATTATTTAATAAGAATGAAGAAGAATTATATATGCTGGAATAAAATATCTCCAAAGCATGAAGATAAATGAAAAGCAAGTTTCAGAATAACCTGTGTGCTATCATCCTTTTTGTTCTAAAACAAGGGAGCAGGCAGTGTATAGTGTAATATACACTATATTATATTACATGTGAGTGTATATTATACTACAGTGTATATTACATGAGTTTACATTACATTATAGTATATTAAGTATATAGTATATATAGTATATTAAGTATATGTTACTCTGTGGTATATTGCCTGTTACATTATATTTCTGTACATGGAAAAAAATTTCAGAAGCCTATGAAAGAGCTCTGTCTTAGGAAGAAATAGAACTAAGGAAGGGAAAGGACATTTTACCTTCCATGTTTTTATAGCGTGTGTGTGTGTGTGTGTGTGTGTTTAACTAGGAGCATATATTAGTTTTATAATTGAAATATGTGAAATTGTGAGCAATCCATTTCCAAAGGTGATGGAAATATGGGTGATTTTTTAAAACTATTATTTCTACTTTTCTGTATTCCCAGGTTTATTGTTATGAGAGTATGTGTTATATCCATATGATGTAAAAATAATGAACTTATTTTTAGAGAATTTTCTGCAGATTCGGAGGAAGGAATGCTATTTATTGACCGGGGAATTCGTTTGGAGAGCCTGGGAAATATAAATATGTAGAATGTAGTTTAAAACATGCAGATTTCCCCATTAGGTATGGCAGTTGCATTCGCATTCCATTATAACAGAAATGGAACAGCTGTCACATCTACTTAGTACATCCTTTATTCCAACAAATTCCTGCATTGTGTCAGCAAAATGTAAATGTATCATTCTTCTTGGGCTAACTTCAGAAAACAATGAGTGCATGATGATGATTTTTTTTTTTAATATCTGGCATTTCAAGAACAAATTACATTTGGGATAACCTTCTATATCAGTTACCACCCATCAAGTCCCACAGGATGCATGCTTCACTATATGTAGCATGTGGATACAAAGTTGGGATATACAAGATCAGTAAGCAGGCTCCACAGTGCTTATGGCGTTACAAGTGATCGTGCGCCTGTTGCTGTCTGTGCCTGTGATAGTGATGAGAGCTGATCTGCATAGCTCCAAAACACACAAGATGTTTATGTTGGTAAACAAGATGACCAATTTGGCATTATTCTTTTCTATTCAGAAAGCTGCATGAGACACAGATGTCCACCACCTCAAAGCTGGAAGAAGCGGAACATAAAGTTCAGACTCTGCAAACAGGTGTGATTTCATCCTTGTCAAGTTGATGCAGGAAAGACTGAAGTGGGTGAAGTGTGGTCAATCTCCAGGTCCCCCCAGGCCCCCTCTGATACCTGTTGCCCTGCCCTGGTGAGGCTGGAGGAGGGAAGGGAGCCCACACTCCGGAGTGCCTCACAGAGCCCTGGCTTTTCCACCTTGACTTCTTAGTCACCCACACTGAGTAGTTAATGTCAAGGTGGGAGGATCTGAATTACATTTTCATCCCTTCTATAAGCCATTCTTTCTTCCTGCTCTTTTTCCAACAAACACATCTAAATCACCAGACTGTCAAGGACTGACATTTCATTCGGAGCAATATATTAGGAAAAGAAAAACTTATTTCTACCCTTAGTGAAGTTAAGGAGAACAGTAATAACAGACCTTTAAAATTTAAAAGCTAGCAAAAAGGGTTATGCTAAATTTTTTATTACTTTTTCCCTTTTTATTCTTAAAGAGAAACAGCACTGTATGTTTAATTTAAATGTGGAAAATAATCACAACAAATTTAACAGACAAATGAATAATACTCAAAATGGATAAACACTTCCTGCAAATCAGTAAAAATAGATAAACAGTCCAGCAGAACAGTGAAGTAAGGAAGTGAACAGGCAGTTTGCAGAAGAAATGCACATGGCTGATACACATATGAAAAAATGGTAACAATTTTTAATAGTCTGGGAGGTGCTAATTAAGACAGTGAAAGATTAGTTTGCCTATCAGACTGTCAAACAAATTTTTAATTGATGATCTTCGGTGTTGGTGAGAGTATAGAAAAATAGTCACACTCACCATATTAATGGGAATGTAATTTGCCCCTTGGGAGGCCAGCTGGGTGGCATTGATCTGCATTTGGAACGTCGAAGCTCCTTACCCCAGGCCCTCCACTTCTAGGCCTGACGTGCCTGACTGGCAGCAGCAGGCTCTGTTCCAGAGCGTGTTGTCACTGGTACTGTCTGTGTCCTGACGTGGGAAGAGTTTCATGCCACTCTGCTAAGGGAATATTTGTATCATCCTACTTATGGGGGATGAAGACAATATAGATAGATATATGTGCAATTATGCATGGGAATATTTTTAAATAACAATACATTTAAAGGAAGAAAACCTACACATTGAACTATAATAAACAGTGGTTATCTCTGAGGAGGTGCATGGGATGAGATGGGGTGGAGGTGAAAGGGGATTTTCTGTTCCATTCTATATACTTTTGTAATTTTTGACTCTTTTAAAATGAGTATATGTTACTTGTATAATGTTCCTTTTTTAAATTTAATATAAACAATTCGTGTCTTATGATTTTATGTGCTCTGCCTTTCAGCCCTGGAAAAAACTCGAACAGAATTATTTGACCTGAAAACCAAATATGATGAAGAAATTACTGCCAAGTAAGTCTCTGCCTGGTGTCAGGTCTCACCTGATTTTGCTAATCCATAAACGATTTCCCCTGCTTCTCCCTTCTGTCTGTAGGCTTTGCAAAGTGATACAGGGTTTAGAAGGTTCTTGGCCTCTGAACTGCTGTGAGGAATACAATGTCATACCCATGGCTTGCTTGTGTCAGTTTAATACCCAAGTTCTGGTGCTGAAAGAACAATCCTCCCACCTGAAACTTTTTTTCCTTAACCTTTGTGAAGGCTGGTTAACACCATGCCTTTTCCTAAGAAATTTTGGGAAAGCCAACTTATAGAAGATGGGATACATGGGACTTGCTTGGTCTGTACAAATGGCATCCCCTTTCATCTGGGCCAGCGTCCTTCATCCCCACATGGGTTTATTTGTTCAAGTCACACCTTGAAACACTAGGCCCCCCGTCTGCCAGACACGTACATGTAGTGAGTGTACACATTTGGTCAGGTGTATCACACAAGGCTCTTGTGAGAAGGAAATCAGTGATCTGACATAGGATCACTTCTTGTCGGCCCACCCTCCATACAGAACATGAGAAAAGAAATAATTTTGACACAAATCAAGAAAGGTGAAGAAGCCATGGAGATTGTTCCTAGCCATGGCCTTCTCTACTAAAGTCCAGACAGGCAATGCCAGCTAGAGTTTGGACTTCGTTTTCCTATTCTGGGAGCCTCTCCCCATCTCCCACAGAAACCCATGCATCCCTGGCTGTCTTTTAGGCAGCCTATTCCAGTAAGAAAGTTCTGCTGTGCTCACTCACACAGGGCCTCCTCCCAGGATCACAATGTAAAATATAGTTATTCCTGTAGATCCCAATCATAACCATTTTGAGAAACACTGCTTTGAGAATGTTACAAAAATTCAGCTTCCAGAGGCCGTGTCTTCTGCCATGCTTTCTCCATTCACGCGGGAAGGTGCTATCCGCCGTGGACATGTGCCTACTTGGGAAAAGAGACTGCCTGATGACAGAGTGTCCACTGAAGCTGTTCAGACTTGACAGCAAAGAATGCTACTTGTCACATGGTGGCTAAATACTGTCCCTAGTTTAGAGTCCTCATTTTTTTCTTATTGGGCTTCTGAAAAGCCACATGGCAAATTTGTGTCCATCTGATTGCTTTGATTTAGGGACCAGGAAGCAACAGAGGACAGCCACCTAATAACGACTTCAGTTTTCCTCTATTCTCAGGTTTTCATTTGCTCTAGGTAGGGAACATGGTGGCTGGGGAAGTGACTGGGAGATAGAACCAGAGAGGTAGGGACATCTTAGCCCCCGTCCCCATCCTCTTCCTGGCCTCCCTTTTAGGTCAGGCTAATGCTGGGGGGGTGACTGACTTCTCTCAACCAAAACCAGAAAATTGAATCAAAGCGTATGGGGGTCGAATGCTTATCATGAAAATGCTTTGCTTCAGGACTGGCTGTTGTCACACACTGCTGACAAGGGCACGGGTGCTCCCGGGGTGCGTCCCCTCCTGTGATCATAGCAGGAAATTTTCTTGTCTTCTCCAGTGATCAGTGGGGAGGCACAGTGTGGTGTACATATATGCACATGGAGAGAACAGTCCTGACAGGTATCTGATGTACATGACTCAAAGGTAGCAGGTCCGCTGATCAATCCAGCAGACACTCCTAGAGGCCTCCTTTGAGCCCAGACCTGTGCTGGACTCTGGTAGGCCTGGCATAAAAGACTCAGAGGAGAGAAGAGCCATTGAAGTACAGGGTGGTCACTGCCATGATAGAGGGGACTAGTTAGCATGGGCTCCTGTGCCAGTCAGGGTCTCTACAGCGGACAGACAGCCCTCTCCAACTAGGGTAATCAGAGAGAGTTTAACATTTGGACTCTTTGTCGAGGTGTGGCATGGCCCAGGAGGAGGGGGACAACAGAGGGAATGCAGCGTCCCCAGCGAACACTGGCCGAGTCCACCATTCCCGGCTTGAAGGGCCACCTTGAGAGGAGCGGTGGCCTTTGGGAGGGTTGAGAGGTCCAGGGAAGCACCAGCAACCCCTAGGCCTTACCCTCCTCCTCCCTTCCCCTGCCAGGACTCCTCATGGCAAACTTAGAAGCCAGAGGGCAGTCCTCAGGAGACGGAGGAAAGAGAGCTGAAGATGGAAATGGCAGGTGCCCTGCATAGAACCCCACCCCACTGGAGTGAAAGGAACAAATTGTCAAAAAAAAGCTTTCTGGAGGGGCTGATGTGTGATTTGAGGTTGAAATATGAGTCAAGGTGAGGGGTTTCTGGAGGCCAAAGGAGGCAGTTCTCGGAGGCAGTTGGTGAAAACAAGGCCAGCAAGGCTGCTTCTCTAGAGGACCAAGTAGCTTCTCTAAGGTCAAGGTGGGCACAGTGGGTGCCAAGGGCTGGACTTAGGCTCAGACAGGGATCGGCATTTCACAATTCAGAGATGGACAACTACTAACAAAAGGGAGCCTGGGGCCAAACACTTACTGCAAATGGTTCCCAGAATAAGTAATCCACAAAAAATGTAGAGAATGGACTGAGATAATAATTGCTACTTTCTTTTAACTTTGGAGGCAATTGCTTCAGTTGTGGAGATCCCACATGAAGCTTCCCCCTCCACATTCCTCTCTTTTGTTTCCTGGGAAAGGTTTGTCCCTCTGCCATCTGCTTCAGCCCCAACGTACGTATATTTTATTAGACTAGACATCTTTTCGTTGATATACATGAATATAAGCCCTCTAGGGGCAAATCTTTTCACAAATGGCCTTAAAACATTCCAAAACAATTTATTTTTTGTCTTCAAAAAGAAGGGTTCGTATATATTCTTTGACAGTAAACACAGGAAGGGGGTGGGGAAAGAATAGGGAAACTTGGGCTTTGGAGGAGACTGACTTGGGCATAGATCATGGAGGTCCACTACTCATTCTCCCTGTGTGACCTTGGATAAGCTCGTGGACCTCTACGTCTCACTTTTCTTGCCTGTGCAATGGGCATAATAGTAAAGTCAAGGCCTGGGGTGGTTGCGGACAGTAATGAGGTGTGTGTGTGCAGCGCCTAGCCCACAGTGACAGCACGGCCAACAATAGAAGCTTTTCCTGACAGTCTCACAGAAGGACTTGGGGTGCTTTTCTGAAATTCGCAGGCCTTGAACAAGACTGACCTTAATGGCGTCATCTCCCCCATGAGATTTAAAGAGCACGTCTTGCCTCTGCCTCTCTGTCACTGGGAGATATCACTAAGGTGACCATCCCTCACCCCCATTTTGTAAAGGAGCCTGCCGATCGATGGCACCGACGCTGTCCCGAGACCCCTGTGTATTGTGTAGAGTCATCACCCTGCGTCAGCTGGGACAGCACGGGCTGACTGTGATGGGGACGGCAGCAGTAAGGTTTTCCATGTGTAGGCTTGAAGCAAAATGTAATTAGCCTTTATGTACAGAACAAGGACCCATTGATGAATACAGCTGGTCTTTGTTTGGTCCTGTCATTGAGAGTGGGAGGTAAAAGTGTTCTTCTTCATGTTTATTAATGCAAGATTCCTTAGACAAATGGCAAGCACAGTTTAATATTTGTTGGAACATAGCGGCATTTGCCAAAACAGTTGTTGCGTAATAGGATTGCAGGGTTTCAGATTATAACCATTTCTGGGTTAAATAAATGAATTATTTCTCTACTTCTTTTTTTAAGTTAAAGTACCACCTTCTTAGATGGTTGCCTTTTGTACAGATCTTCCCACTTCTTAGCAAATGGAGACTTAGCACCCTAACAACTTTAACTTGGAGGTTCCAGCAAAGCAGAGTGGTGTGGAGTGGTTCCCCAGGGGCACTTGGAGGTGGACAGGCACCTTTCAGCAGGCAGCAGCGGCCCCAGAGAGAGGCCTAGTCCGCCTCACCCAGGCCCTCGTCCCTGCGCCTGTCTTTCACTGCTGATGGCTGGTGCTTAGGTGTAGGTTGCTGCTACACACTGCAGGAGGAATGTGGTTCTCTTAGCCAAGATACTAGCGTTCTGAGCAAAAATGCAGGAATTCCCATTTTAGCTCAAGTCCACGGCCACCTCTTTGCTCTGTCCCCCAGAATCCTGGTTGCAAAAGGAGCTTCAGTTATAACACATACAGTCAGCTTATTACATTCCTCTTAACTTGTGGGCTGAGGCTCTGAGCCTCTGATGAAAGAAAATATTGAATTGCACTGAAATACTTCATTTTTTATAGCTAATGTTAGTCTTAGGAGAATTTGCACCTCCCAAACCTTTCCTGCCAGTAAAATTCATATTTCTTAAGGTTACTCATGTTGTATTCCTTTTTAAAAAGAGCTATATTGTATATATGTGTACTTACTTACACACTACATTACAAAAGAGACATTTATGAGGAACTTCACTTGGATTAATTTTAGAGTGCTTTCTTTATTTCAAATATACGCATATAACCAGTATTTTACCGCAAAATGCAATATGCTCTGAGAAAGCAAAAAACTTTCCCACATGAGCTTGGCTTACAGCTTTACTGAAATTGTTTAGGGGAGCCTGTGCCCCACATTGTGGAGACAGGGAATTCCATGCCCAGCAGTGGGGCATGGAGGACCTGAAATGCAATTTGAAAAGGTGACAAAACAGACAGCTCAAGACAGGATTCCCAAGTGCGAAGTGTCATAGAACGGTGGTAGGGTAGATACCTTCCATGCATACAAATTACTCTGGACTGTTTCACAGTGGTTTCTTACATGGTATCTTGTTTATTACTCTTTCCTACAATCATTGAGAAAGCTTTGATTTTGCTTGCTGCATAGATGAAGAAACAGTCTCAGGACACACAATCAGGCCCCAGATCTAGTCCTTTGGACTCAAAATGCAGCGCTGTTAGCACATTATCACAGTGGCCTGTAAAGTGCCTTCGTGGTGCTTGTGTGTTGCCTGTGTGATAGGTTTCCCTGAAGGGTTTCTAGTCTCTGTCCCTCTCCCACAAGCCCCGTTGGGTTTACCTGAGCAGACTGATTTCTCTTTTATTTTTCTCTTTGCAGTTCTACATGA